TTCAAGTGATGAATGATAATATCTCAAAGAATGAAGTTAGATCTGAAGCAAGATTTGCCTCTATTGAAAGTAAGATGGAGCAAATGGAAACCAGGGCCAACAACCTCAGTTCTTATGTCACTCAATTATCTAATAATATAAGTGACCAACAAGCTAAGAATTCAGGAACTATGCCTTCCAACACTGTCATTAATCCTAAGTCTGTGAATGCCATATGTCTACGAAGTGGAAAGAAAGTTGGACCTATTCAAAACTTAAGTGATGATGAAGAGGTGGATGAAGAGATTGAGGTTGAAAATCCACCCAAGAGGTCTGAAAGCTCTAAAGAAATGAAGCTACTCAAAAAGGAGTCCACTAAAGAGCACAAAAGCAAGGAGAGCAAGAAGCAACCAGAGACAAGCACTCATGGAACCTTAAGCAATGAGGGTAAGGAGGTAAATCTCAATGAACTCCCTTTTCCTCACTCTTACTTAAAGAGCATGAAAATTGCTAATGAAAAACAAGATAATGAGTTGCTTGAGACATTTAGAAAAGTTGAAGTTAATATACCCTTGCTTGAACTAATTAAGAAGATCCCTAAGTATGCTAAATTTTTGAAAGAGTTGTGCACAAATAAGAGGAAGTTTAAACCTAATGAAAGAGTTCAATTACCCTCGAGTGTGTCTGCCTTGTTTAAACCACAACTCCCAATTAAGTGTCAAGACCCCGGTTCCTTTACTATACATTGTACTGTGGGTAGGACAACCATTCCTAAAGCTTTACTTGATTTAGGTGCTGCAATTAATGTTATGCCTAAATCAATGTATGAGTCTTTACAAATCAAAAGCCTCAAACCTACCACCATGATGCTTCAGTTAGCTGATAGGACTGTGAGGTATCCACATGGCTTCTTAGAGGATATTCTTGTGAAGGTGAAAGATTTAGTTATCCCTGCCGACTTCTATGTTTTGGATATGCCTAATGAACAAGGTGGGGATGGAACTCTGATTTTGGGTAGACCCTTTCTTCGAACTTCTAATACCAATATTGACATGCAAACGGGTTCTATCACTATGTCTGTTGGGGATAAATTTGCATATTTTAATATGTATGAACAAATGAAACAACCGCATGAAGACTATTCTATGTGTGATGTTAATGTTATTGATGGGTTGTTCATAGATAAGCTTGATAATGTTAATGAGATGCATGTTTCATCCCCTATTTTTGATTCTGCTTCCCCCTCCCTTTTAAATGGTAGTGACGTGGACTGTTCTACTGTTCATCAGTTAGATTACACCCTTTCCACTCCATCTGATTATGTTATTACTGATGTTGCATTTGTGAAGTCTTCTACTAACCCTCATGAGCTCGAGAAAGGCTTTGTTTTTGATGATGTTACAGGTGTTAGTAGAGCTGAAAAGACTTCCAAGGAAAAGAAATATTTCAACCTTTTTAGGGAGCTGCGTGCCCTGAATGCTGTGCATGGACCTGTTACAGTTCCAGTTGTTATCCACCCTACCATCTCTACACCCTCAACTGAGACAACCTATCAAGAGATGGTGGCTGCTCCTATTGATAGAAAGAAAGTGGATTCTGAGGAAAAGAGCAAAGAGCCTACATCTCTCAAGCTCTGTTTTAAGGAGAAGAAGAAAATTAAGAAACCTTCTGCCACTTTCCCTCCTTTCTCCATTGACCACTACAAGGTCATTGATCTAGTCTATAAAGACCCTTTCCTATCAACTCCTGAGGAGGCTGCGAAGATTAAAGCTGGTACTGAGGTATGGGGTCTACTGTCCACTTATCAGACTCCAAAGGCTGAGAAAAGGGCCAAATGGATTGGACCTTTTGAAGTTCAGTCAACATGCCAGCGTAGGAAGGTTGTGATAAAGGATGCTGAAGGCCGGTTCTTCCAAGTCAAAAAGGAGCGCCTTCGTTTCTTTAAGGAGAGCTATCAGCCTCCATGACACCTCAGGTTGCTTCTTTCCTTTACCTATCTTGTTTACCATGTTTTGCTTTGTTTTGATTGATTTGATTGTTGCATGAGTTAGTGAGATAAGTGTGAGGGAAGGAGCTTACCAGTAGGAAAAAGTAGTCTAGTTTTAGCTTGTAGTTTTTTTTTTTTTTTTTTAATAATTTTCCCCTTTATGTTCTTGTCTTTTTCCTTTCTTCCTTTGTGCTTAATTGTCTACTTGGTCAAGCATTGAGGACAATGCTTTGTTCAAGTGTGGGGGAGGGATTGATATTCAATAATTGTGTTGTGTTTTTCTGTGTTTATTGAAAAATCTGGTTTTCTAAAAATTTTCAAAATTTTGATTGATTTTCGAACTTAAATTGAAGATTTTGAGTTAAAATTTTTGAAAAATTTTGCTTCAATTAACTTACACTTGAATTTGCGTATTCTTGGACTTTGGTAGCTATTTTTGAACTTGTATTGATACTCATGAGAATTGCTATTTGTTTCAAGGTTGATTGTTTTAGTCTCATTGGTCACAATTCTTCAAGTTTGCTTTTATGGTGATTGAGTTAATGTATTATGATTAATCTGGAGTACAATTAATCTTTGTGCATGAGCATTTGAGATTTAGCCTTGTTGGAAGATTCTTTGAACCTAATTTCCATTCATAGTGAATTGTATCCACTTACATCTTCTACTTTCTAGAACTTGTTTTAGTCCTTTTCAAGACTTAGTTGCATTGATTTGATGAGCATGATAGAGGCATTCTTTTCTAAACCCCTACATCCCAAACACAAACCCTCACAATTTCATCCATTGCTAGCCATTTAAGCCTTCACCTTTTCTGAAGTGCCAAAGCATGCATTACATGTCCAAGTATTCAACAACATCTTACTATTACATTCATGATTTGTTGAACTTTGTCTTCTTGGGTTTGGAATTGCCAAAAAAAAAAAAACAAAAGAAAAGAAATAGAAAAAGGCAAAGAAATAGAAGAAAATGTTGAGAAAAGCCAAAGAAATAAAGATAAAAATAAAATGATACCAAAAGAATAAATTTTTGAAATAAGGCAGTTCATTGGTGGTTTGAAGAACAAAGTTGTGCTTCAAGAGAAAGTAAATGTTAGTTGGAAGCCCTTTCTGATCATGCTTGGTGCTTTATCACTTTGTATCTTTTCACTTCATGTCATTCCATTTAGCTTTTTCCATTCATCATAACCTCAAAAGTCCTCTTGATCATTGCATTCATGCATTAAGAGTGGAGAGGTAGGATTTTAACAAGCGTATGGTTAAGTGGTTGATTAAGTGGATTTGAGAGAGAATTACCCCAACATGGTGAGTAGAGTGAAACAGTTTATATCTTGAGTGTTTTCTCTTTTGCTCATTCCTGCTGCATTGATTGTACTCTACTTTAATCCCTCCTTATTAACTTGGATCACTATGATTGCTTGTTCGAAGAGTTGGGTTAATGGCACTACTGCTTTCTTACTTTGAATTCATAGCGGTTCCCATTTGTATCAATGCTATTCTCTTGCCTTGGTTTTGTATTGCCTTTGTCCAGGAGTACAAAGGTTTAAGTGTGGGGGAATTGATTAAACCCAACTCTTTATTGTCTTTTCATATCATTTTAAGGGTTTTTATCATAATTAGTAGCTCTTTTAGTGTTTATTGTGCTTAAATTATATTAAAGTGCCTTACCTTGAATTAGTGCATAATAGGGGCAAAATTGTCATAATTGGAGATTAATTATTATTAATTGATTTCTAGGATAATTGATGCTATATTATGTATGATTTTCCTTGTAGGTACTTTGGGAGAAATTTGGGCAAATTTGGAAATCACACTTTAGTCCCAACATTAAAGGTAGTAAAAGACCGGATTAATAGCAGAAAAAGGCCCCAGAATTCAAGAAATTACACCAGAGGCCCTGAGTAAATGAAGCTTTGCGTTTTGGCTGAAAGGTACCATCCGCCGTGGCGGATGGACAAATCCGCCGCGGCGGATTTGTCAGAATTGCAAAAGTCGCGATTTCAGCATTCTAATTCGGATCCCTAAGCTTCAACCCGACCCCAAACCACCTCTAGTAACCAGTATAAGCTGAGTTTCAACCTAGGGAAGCCTCATTCGGTCTCTCCTCACCTCTCTTTGGCTGAATCATCCTCTCATCTCCTCATTCCACCAATTCTTCATTACATTCCATCATATTTCCCTTTAATCCATCCATAACCTCTTCTTCCATGGAGATTCAACTATTGTTGCCGGTTGGAGCAATGCTTGGAGTGATGGAGGGCTAGGGGTTCTTCAACTCTTGAAGATGGTTGATTGGCATGAGTTCCAAGAGCTTCAAAGGGGAGTTAGCTTCATCCATAGTTCTAGTTGTTTATTTATAAATTTCTAGGTCTTAGGATTCGTAAATTGGGGCTGAACTGTTTTGATTATGGTTGTAATCAATTCTGGATGATTATCTTGTGTATTGGATTAGTTAATGTTGAATTTGAGCTTCAATATATGTGGTTACATATATGTTTCTATGCAACTCTTTTGATACTCTCTTTCTTGCATGGTATTGTTTGATTGTTGAGTTAATCTGGGCTTGCATTAAACCAAGTGCATTAATTAATCTTAATACACACACTAAGTAAGCTTAATAGGATCTTATAAGATGGGTGGCCATTGATTAAGATCCTAGACTTGAAGGGTTCTTTAAGGTTTTTCCTTTAGAAAACTTGGTGATTTTTACTCCCCAAAATCATTTTGAGCTATGATTGCCAAAGGTCCATTTTCAAGAGGTTTTATCAACTGTTTCAATACTTGTTTCCCATTCATTCCATCGTAATTTCCCAAAAATCCAAAAATATATTTACATTGCATTTTATCTCAATTAATAGTTTTAATGAAAACCCCCAACTTTACCCTAGTCAATTTGCATTTTCATGGCATTTAGTTAACTTAGGATCAATAGTTAAGGCTCCAACAAGTGAAACGACCCGAGGTTGTGCCTATAGTACAATCCTTGGTTTTAATTTTGAATTTGACCCTAAGGTGTAAGCAAGACAGGTCACATTTCAGAAAGTCAGGAGTGAGTCACTGGTAGCATCAAGCATTACGGTAGATGAAACTTGTGAGAAGTTCTGACTTGCTCCAGGTGTCTCACCGAGTCTGTAGACATATTCAGATTTATAATGAATACTAACATTTGTCAAACAGTTGCATAATTTAGATATAAAAAGCGACAAAGACAATCAACGTAAGAGTAAACCCGGCAATTAATTCTCTGACTTCAGGGAGGTCTGGATTGAACAAAACTCTTGTAGCATGGAAAGCATTAGTTATATGTCCGTAACCTTAAATAAATACAGGGAGGTAAGTACAGAATATAACATCCAAATATAACTTGAAGTCATTATTTTCGCAATAAGCAAATACCTTTAGTTGTTGATATCCTTGCAAATCGGATGACAACTACAGTAGGAACTTCCAAATCATCAGTCCTAGCTTCAAATGCATTGATTGCCACATCTCCGAAAAGAGCCACGTTAATGGGGATTTGGCTGCATTAAATTAAGGTCTAATAAAAAATGAACTGAACAACGAAGCAGTAATGTATCTTATTATGAATGATTCAGAGGAGTTTGTGACTGAAGTGATGTTACTTATGATCAGCGATGGTGAAAGTCAGTGTCTTTATGGTCTGTGAGTCTTTTTTGTGGTCAACCAAGTTTCCAAATGCTTGAAGGAACCCAATGACATCTGCAATTTTTTTTTCATACGATTAGAATAAAACATAAAGGAGTGAACAAACATGGGAAGGATATGATTACTAACCAATCAATTCATAATTTGTAGCATTATAGTCAGCAATATCCTTTATTGGAACAAAGTTAAATGCATTTAAAGGGACTGCTAAGTCATGCTTTTGGAAAAACGTCATGGAGTGGAAACGAATCTTCCAAGTGTGATGACAAAGTTTGAAAGCATCATTGTTGGGCACAGCTACAAAGTTCTCAAACTGATATACTTCACCCTCTGTTATTTCATCCATGTATCTTTGTAATTGTGCTTTCTGGGACATAAAAGCTTCAACTCTATACCCCTGCATGTTTTCATTACAATGAGAGCCACAGAAGACAAATAATATGAGAATCGAAAATAAAGTTCCATTTTTTGTCAAACCTGTTCATCAACTAAAATCATCCCTACTTTAAAAATATCAAAAGGCGGTGTCTTTTTAGTCATAATCCATTTTCTCAGCACTCTCGCAACAATACACCAAGTATCTTTAGAATCATCTACATCTTTGATGAGATCATGATCGAAGTTTGCCATTTGTTGCTGTGATGGTACTGACCTGCACAAATTAGTTGAAGGAGAGAAATGTTTGAGGGCCTAACATAAGGTAACGTTTGAAGGAAATAACTGTTTAACAGGAAGTAGATACCTTAAAAGTTAGGCTGTGGAGACCACGCAATGTACAGATCCCTGATAGATTGTATGGTAAATCAACAGCCTCAGTTTGAATTGGATATCTGCTTATATAGAGAATAGATGTGTGTATTAGCATGGTTGATAATATAACCAACTATAATGAATGATCATATGCTTAGAGCCGGCCTCTAGCAGTCTCGTTATGCAAACATGCGCACTGACATCGAAGAGGCAAATGCTGATTGAAGTATCCAATGCATTAAAGGATATAGAAGGGGAATCAGTAAATGTATAAATAAATATATCTACTGGAAATCTGAAATGGCCCTGCATTTTTTTTTTGATAAATAATCTAAAGTCATTAAAAATTAATCAGATTATATGAAAAGTAATTATATAGATAACAACCCACATCATTTAAAGGGTTAAGAAGATTCGAGGTGCAATTAAAAGATGGGAGTCAGGAGGTCTGCTGACCAGTATATAATAATAAGAAAGAAATATTTAAGTAACATTGGTCTTTTTTTTATCGCCAGCATTTAATCTTTCTCGAAAAAGGTTCAGGTGGGGATGTATTTATGAGTATTACCTCCCTAGAGATATTCAATATATATTAGATATATATTTAGTTCTAATTGATAGTTGATTAATTTATTCTATTTGACTCTTCAACTTACCCGTCACGGAATAAAATTTTCATTTGATTCAATATATATTAGATATCAAGGTCGGAAAATATATATTAGATATATTATTTGATATAAGCCCCATTTTATATTTTATTATGAGTACAAAAGAAAATCATGTTATTATTTAAACGTCCATACATCTAAGCATTTAAAAAAAAATGAAACTTTGCAGAGTAATTAATGAGATCTGGAAAAGTAGACGTCTCGAAAGATAAGCCACAAGGACTGTTGAAGGTATGATAGTCCAGCAATCATGGAAAACAGTGCAACCTCCATGAGCAACCAATCACAGTATAATGCAATAATTACAATACTTGAAAGGTAGGCGAGTAAATAGACGTAGAAAATGTAAAACAAATGATTGAAATGAAACGCATTGCAAATCAACAAAAATCCTAGCAGAACATAAGAAGATGATATTATGTGGTCCCATCCACGGTGGACGAATGGACTATTTGCTGAGGTGCACCAATCAGAATCTGTTTACGAGTTTTCTAGTTGATAAGTTGATAGGACTCTAAACTAAAAACATAGAGGTTTATATCATAAGTAGTTAACAACACATATAGCACGAGACAAATCATTGAAGCAATAATATTACTAGTGCTGATAACTAATTGGCATTAACCAAAGATTTTCCTTTCTTCTTACGCCAGCACCAAATGTCTCAGACATGTCAAATTCTTCATGAGTGAATCCATTTGGGAGCTTCCAATCAAAATGATACAGCAAACCGGCAAGCGGCAGCTCGATGTTTGGTAAAGCAAAGTTAATCCCAGGACACATTCTTCTTCCAGCACCAAATGGTATATAATCAAAGTTTGTTCCTCTAAAATCAATTGGATTATCCAAAAATCTCTCTGGCTTGAAGATCTCAGCTTCATCCCAAAACTTAGAATCTCTTCCTATTGCCCAAGCATTGATAATGACTTTGGTCTTTTCAGGTATCTCATATCCATCAATCACACACCTCTCAGTGTTTTCTCGTGGAAGTAACAGCACCCCAGGGGGGTGCAATCTTAAGGTCTCCCTCACAATTGAGTTTAAGTATTTCAATTGATGAATCTCACTTTCGTCCACATATCCTTTTTCACCGTAAATCCTTCTGACCTCAGCTTGAGCTTTCTCCCTCACCTTTGGGTTCTTCATCAATTCTGCAATCGCCCACTCCACACTAGTTGATGATGACTCAGATCCAGCAATAAACATATCCTGAAGATGGGTTGTGAGTTCTTCGTCAAAGAAACTTCTTTGTAACTATAAAATATTAATAAGCATAAGATAAATTACGTTACTCTTAAAGCTAAAGTTCTTTCATATATACGCTACTCACCAGAATGACGGCTTTGATGTGCTTGTGGGTTAACGGCAGTTCTAGATCATTTTCCTGTTGAATTTTTAAAAGAACATCAAGTAGATTCTCTTCAGTATTCTCACTACTTCTCTCTTTTCTTTCTTTGTGATCCTTGATGATGTCCTCCAGTATTTTATCATTCAACTTATGAACCCTTTCAACTTTAGCTCTCATTCCAGTTATCACTTGAAGAACTTTGACAGAGGGAAAGAGATCAACAATCGAGAAACCTCCCATCACCTTCATTATTTCCTTCAAACTAGATATGAAGGCTTCTTGATCTCTTGACTTCTTACCGAAAGCTGCTTTTGCAATTATGGAATTTGTGGTTGTGAAAATTTTCTCACTCAGATTTATTACCGAACCTTCATGAGATCGAATATCTTTGACGAGTGCAGATACTTCCTCTTCCCTTATGTACCTAAAAGATCGAGCACGCTTTGCAGTTAAAAGCTCTAAAGTACATATTTTTCGGAGTTTCCTCCAATGGTTCCCATGTGGGGAAAATCCAATATCTATGTTATTATAAGTGATGATCTCAGCAGCGAGAAGATGAGGTCTATTGGAGAAGATAACGTCATGTGTTGTGAAGATCTGTTTGGCAATTTCTGAGGAAGTGACAATGACATTGGATGTCTCTCCAAGCTGGAGATGCATTAAGGGACCATACTTGTTTGCCAAGTTTCTCAGAGAGTGATGGGGTAGTGACCCTATAAGTTGATGGATGTTCCCTATAAGAGGTAACTTCCATGGCCCTGGAGGTAAAGGTAGAGTTTTGAAGGATTTCTTGGTGTTCGATCGGCTGTATATCAGAAGAAGGAAGAAAAACAAGGTGAAGAGGAAGATCTGGAGAATCATGATTATAGAAGTTAATTTGATTTTGTTTTGTTTATGTCTTGGGCAGAGACTGCTTTATATCCTTTTTCCATTGGATGTTTCAGTCAGCATATTTCAATATTTTTATTAATTATATGTAGTTACTTAATTTAATTTCTTCTTTAAAGTAATGCCTAAGCCGTTTGACGTTTGGATCTTAAAATTCAACAAGAATGACCTACTTGTCAGGACTCAGATTGGGATTTGAAGATTAAATAATAATCCAAAGACCAAATGAAAATTAAATCGTTTAAAATGAGTGGAGGATGCCATGGGATTTGACTAAAACAATTAAATAACTCAATTGAAAAAAAAATCCGCATGGCCACGTAATTTAGTTTTCTAAATTCTTCAGACTCGACAGACAATAATTTCTAAGCAGTAAACATAGTCGTCTAAAGTAATCTGAGAGAAAAACATATAGAACTTATTTCTATATAACAATAATTCAAATATATGAGACATCAGAAGCTACCTCGACTCATCAGGGCAATACCAAAAAAATATAATTGATACATCAGTCAGTGAATTATAGTAAGGACCACTCATTTCTAAAATGTTGTACAGTAAACACTGAACTGTGCATGTCTCAAATTAAGAATAATAATTCACTTTTTTTTTTATTATGCAGATGTATTTTCTTATTAAAAACAATCACATTCAAAATATTATTAGGTATTAAATATAAACACATCTCTTAATAAAAATTCGAACATTAATTCATTAAGATTGTGAAGCACTCTAAACCCAAATTTTCGCTTAAACATGAAAACAACCAAACATACAACTTAAAAGCTGGGCCCGCCCTCCACCTTATCTGATATGAGGGACGACCTTCCTGGCCCAAATCCATTATCCAATCCACATCGTCACCTTTTGGACTGCAGGCCCACAAGAACTAGGCCCACCACTTCCCTCTTTATATCGGGTCACCACTCGACCATATAGCTGTGACTCCCACGCGTCATCTCCCACTTCCGGCCATTGCTTCGCGCCAACCCTATACTTAGTCGATTGATGCATTATCGTTTTTAGTTTAATTTATTCATTAGCTTCATTTCCTCCATCCTTCTTAAGATCCATTCCATGCCAAGCCATTAAGCAGTGCTGTCTTAAATCTCCATGGCAGAATGTGGGCACTTGCAGCAACCATGACTTCCTTTCCGCCGAGCCGTTGGACTTGAATCCGCAGCGTTGCCTTCAAATTCCCCTCAGAACCCAAGCAAAGCCAAAGCCGCAGAGTGTTCTTTTCTTTCATGGGTCTCGCATGGAGAGATTCGTCTTCAAAGAGGAGCCTTATAAGTCTTGGGATCCCCAATTCCCACGGCTTGTTTAATATGAAAGAAACAGGGGGGAGTAGAGGGAAAGACAGTAAAATTTTTAATGAGTTTGATTAAAAAAAATTAAAAAAATGATATTAAAAGTTTTTAATTAATTTTTATTATTTTTTTCTCGTACATATATTTTTTTTTAGTAAAATTTTAAAATCTCATTTTTTATTTAAAACAAACTTTTTAAATTTTTTTCTCTCTCATTCATTGCTTTTTATTTTGCTCGTACCAAACATAAGTAACAGTTAGCTTTTGGGTATTATATTCTTCCAAAGATTTGTGCTCATGTCAGGCCACAGCAGCTTTAAACTAATCTTAATTAAAATTGTAAAGTTGTCTTTTAAAATTCCAGTTTTGCTTCTCAAAATTTTCAACTTTTACGTCAGTAAGGGCAATTTAATCAAAGAGATTACCCTAAGGTGTTTCTGATTAGCTTTTTAAGGTCCGGTGTTCTTGAATGGTAATATTCAAAAGGGAATGATGAAATGACTTGGCTGAGTGAAGATCCACACCAAACTCACTTCACTTGTTCCCCGTAAGTAAATGCCACGTGGCACACCTGATTTCTTGCGCCATTAGTTAATAATTAAGCTGATTAGCATCACATCATACTCCCCACAAGTAACCCCTAATCAATTGCTACTACTTTTCTTATCATAGCAATATTTTAATGTAAATTATACGTACAATTTCTTAATCATAATTGAATTTAAAAGCATAAAATAAATACCATTACTGTGAAGCTCTTGATAAATTAATAAGGCAATTAATTAATTCATAGCTATGAATTTTTTCCATTTGTGTAAATGTAATTTGTATCACAACATGTTTCAGACGATGGTGGGTTGGTGAACTTTGAAGATTAAGAATTTTTTAAAATTTGTTTCAATATTCATATTTAAATGTGGCTTACTGTCAAACTTCCATCACATGGCCTACCCTAGCTACTTTGAACAATTCAATTTTCTATGGCAGAAAGCCATCGCGACTGGTGGCTAGCTTACTGCTGAATATTCTCTCCCTCTCTGGCTCTCTAATAGGAATTGATATTTTTTTTTTTAACCTTCAAGAGGAATTAAGATTGAGATCTAATTTTTGGGCATTTTCAATTAATTGAGCTGAGATAGAATTTGTAGCAGCAAGAGATTAACAGGGGCTTATCGAAAGAAATATCAATCAAGCTTTTAAATGAAGTGATTTAGAAATTAAATATTTTATGTAAAATGTTAATTGCGATACAAATTTGATTGCGGAAAATTATATATATAAAGTAAAAAATTTGATGATGATTATTGATAAATTATAAATAATAAATGTTTAGATAGCGTGTTGACTCGGCTAATCAGCCCAGAATTTCTTAATGGAGGAAACATAATTAATTAATTTCGTGGAAAAGTTTGTTTATGAAGTACGGAGTTTGATGTTGCGGCCAGTAAGTTAAATTTAAATAATGCAGAAATCAACAAATATCTTCTTACGAAATCTTTTTTATCATATTTGGACTCAAATGATATAATATCATAACATCATTCATGTTACTACTACACGACGCTAATATACGGCAGCTATCAGGAAACAACTGTAACAAAAAAAAAGCCATGACATTTTTGTCATTGCATAAAAGTACATTTTACTTTTTATAGCAGTTATCCAGAAAATTATTGTAAAAAGTATACTTTTTACGATGGTTTAAAAAAAACTCTTCTTAAAAAGATTATTAGAATTTTAAAACTCTTCTTATCATGTAATAGTTTTTTACTTTTCACGGTTAAAGTTCCTGGTTTCTCACTGTCGTCTCCACTTAATTTTCTTCCTCCTCTCACTTTTGGTGGTGTTTTCTCTTTGTTTCTATCATCTCTGCCATGTTCTTTCATCGATGTCACTGTCATGTCATCTTCTTCATCGTTATTTGTGAGTTTTTTGCCCTTTCTTTTCTATTCTTTTTGTGGGTTTTATAATTTTTGTAGTTTAGTTGTTTGAAAAGATGTGTGTAGTATTTTCTTTGATTAAAAACATGATGTTTGTTTTAAATTTGAATATATCTGTTTTTTTTGTTAGTCTCCTTACTTAAATATACTTTGATATGTGAAAGTTTGAAAATATCTAATTTTTGTTCCTTTCATTTTATAGATTTGAGTTTGATAGCCTGAAATTCATGAGTTTTATAATATTTTGGTGTTCAATTTTACCTTTATCAAATCTTAATAACTTCAGTCCGGTAGTTAAAGACTTCGATGTTCTACTGGTCACGAAGAGCTTTAGGCTTCGAGCAAAGCTAAAAGAGAAGAATTCAATAAATATACAACCGTCGTAAAAAGTAACATACTTTAGCACTTCCTATCATGAATTCCTCTATTTTTTCACGTTGATGACATAAATGTCACATTCAAAACTGTCATGAAAGGCTCATTCTAACTGCCGTAAAATGCTTTTTTTGCATAGTGTGTTATTAATGTAAAAGAGGTCTATATATCTTATAACCTAACTAAAGCGAGCTTCCAGTTCTCCATTTCCTCAGCCATCAATGGAGATTCAAATCCCATACACTATCCTCTTCGCCATCTCTTTCTTCTTCCTTGTAATGCTGAAGAAATCAACCTCCAATAAATCCTTCAAAACCCTACCTCCAGGGCCATCCAAATTACCTATCATCGGCAACTTACACCAACTTGCAGGATCAATACCCCATCGTGCCATGAGAGATCTAGCCAACAAATATGGATCCTTCATACATCTTCAACTTGGAGAGTTGTCCCATGTTGTTGTCTCTTCCCCAGAAATAGCCAAAGAGATCATGAAAACACACGATACAACGTTTGCAAATCGACCTGCTCTTGTTGCCACCACACTGATTTCCAATAACACAGACATAGCCTTTTCTCCTTACGGAAACTATTGGAGGCAACTTCGGAAGATTTGTACTCTGGAGCTTTTGTCTGCAAAGAGGGTCCAAACTTTCAGAACAATAAGGGAAGAAGAGGTTTCAGCACTCGTGAAGAATATATCAGAACACGAAGGCTCCATTGTTAATCTCAGTGAGAAGCTTTACGAGCTCACGAATTTCATAACTGCTCGAGCAGCTTTTGGTGCAAAGACAAAGAACGTTGAAGAAATCCTATCACTAATGAAACGTACTCTGGAGTTGGCAAGTGGTTTCTCAGTTTCTGATCTTTACCCTTCGCTCAAAATCCTTCAAGTGATCACCGGCATAAAAGCTAAAATTGATAGCGTGAACAAGGAGCTTGATATGATGGTGAGGAATATCATCAACGATCACAAAGAAAAGAACCATAGTCATACTGGTAAAACAGAGGATTTGGTCGATGTTCTTCTGAGGATTCAAAAGGAAAATACCCTTGAGATCCCTTTGACTCAACGCAACCTCAAAGCTATCATAGCGGTGAGTATATATGTTAATTGATGATTGAATTGTTATAGATATATCTTCAAAATACACATTATGAGCTCTAATCGTGAGTTTATATTATCTATTTCTAGGATGTTTTCCTTGGTGGAACTGAAACATCAGCGTCAACCGTAGAGTGGTCAATGTCAGAACTTCTTAGAAACCCCAGCAAAATGAGAAGGGCACAAGAAGAGGTAAGAAGGATTTTCGGAAGCAAAGGATACGTAGATGAATCAGAATTTCGTCATTTGAAATATGTATCTGCAGTTATAAAAGAAACTTTGAGGTTACATCCGCCTTTGCCACTGTTACTTCCAAGAGAAAATAGTGAGAGCTGTGAGATCAATGGTTATAAATTGCCTCCCAAGACTAGGGTCATCATCAATGGTTGGGCAATCGGAAGAGATCCAAAGTATTGGGATGAACCAGAAAAGTTTGAACCAGAAAGGTTCCTGAATGCCTCAATAGATTACAACTTTAAAGGGACAGAGTTCGAGTACATCCCATTCGGTTCTGGAAGAAGGATATGCCCTGGAGTCTCATTTGCTACAGTTCTTGTTGAAAGTATGGTCTGCAATTTGCTTTATCACTTTGATTGGAGACTTCCTAATGGGTTAGAGCACGAAAAGTTGGACATGACAGAGAATTCTGGTGCTACGGTGAGAAGGAAAAACGATCTTTGCTTGATTCCAATAAGATATTGCCCTTAAATAATAAGTCTGCATCATGATTAATCAATTACAGTTTTCTTTTTTTTGGTTCTTCGTTTGTCATCTTATGGTGGATTGACAAATATAGCGGGATACCTACTTTGTTCTGCGCTTTGGAGTTGTTGGAGAATAAATTAAGTTTATTTAAATGTATCCTTTTTCTCCTTTGTAATAATTTAATAAATTTATATAATATTATAAACTGCACTACATTCATAAGTTATTTTCATGTTATAAATAGTACAAAGAACTCTATGCAAATACATATTATTTTAATTAATAAATAATACCTCTGCTTTTTAGTCTTTAATATGAGATTTAGTTTGTACTTTAAACTGAATTACAAACTAGATCCTATATTAAGAATAGAAAGTAGTACAACCTCCAGTCCTAATTATAAGAGTTAGTTGACTAATTTGAAGAGATTAAATAAATATGTTAAGTTAGTTATTTGTAATAAATAAGTGTTCTTTTTCCTAAAATATTCTTGCTAATCAAATGTATTGGCTAGAACTATTATTATTAGAAGGATTATCTTAGAAAAATATATATAAATATGAGAGACAAAGTGGATTGAAATCTTATATTTAGAACCAAAATAAAAGTCAAACAAAATCTTATATTAAAGACCGGAAGTAGTATTTGGTTCTTGTTTACAACCAGCTGGAATCAAATTATTGTATCTCCCACATTTTTTTTTTGCTAAGGAAGGCAATGCTTCTTGGACCGATTTTTGAAATGTGAAGAGAAAATGAATATTTAATTCATATACTAATTTTTAATATAAGGGCTCATTTGACTTTTATTTTGATCTTCAATATAAGATCTTAATTTACTTTGTCTCTTATATTTATCCATTTTTTTAAATATAGTTTTTGTAATAATAGTAGTTCTAGCCAGTATACTTGATTAACAAGAATATTTTAAGAAAGATAACACCCACTAGTATATATTACAAATAACTAACTTAATTAATTTTTTTAATTTACTTAGGTTAGTTAATTAACTTTTATACTACCTCTGGTCCTATTATAAGCTTTGTTTGTAGGCTACAAATAAAATCTTAGATTCAAGGTAGTATTAAGGACCCGAGGTAGTAGTATAGAAGATAAGTCAAACATTCCGAATTTAACAAATATTTTCTTTTGATTTTTGCAATATTTGTACTCTAACCACCACGCTTCCGCGCATATCGTTCATTGGGGAAGGAGATGGCTAAGTAATTTTTAATTATTCTGATAGAAAATCTAAGGGGCTGGTATAATTATCAATATTTAAAAAATAGCGTCGGCATAAACAATTTTTTTTTAAAAAAAACTGGTCAATAAACAGCTCAAGAACACACTTCTTCACTATAGTCATAATTAAATAAAACATATTTTAAAACAATATATATACTTAAAATAAAGAAAATAATTATTCATAATCATAACGGGGAACATTAAAATCCAAAAAAAAAAAAATTCTATTCAAATGAAACGAATTAAAAAAAAAAAACAATATCCACCCATTCGTCGTATTCTTCATCCAAACTCAAAATTATATACTTAATTTCTAAATTATAGTGCATATCAAAGATTCAATGTCCATAAACCATCAATCCATACACTACATTAATTTAATTCTTTTTATTTTTAATATACGTACATGACATTACATATCTTCATAATTAAGTTTAAAGAATATCTCAAACTTAAAAACATAATTTTTTAAAAATAAATCGTTTTAGACCTTTTTTAAACTTTTACTGAACGTAGCTACATAATATATATTCCATCTTCAGTTATATATATCATATTTTTTTAATTCAAAAAATTACAATTAGTTGGTTTGATTGATGTATGATTAAAAAAATTGGCGAAAGATTCCTCTCAACTACCATGTCATAATTGAAGTTGAATTCCGTTCCGCTCTTGCAGAATATGCAACCCTTGTGGGAAAAAAATTGTATTTAAATAAGTGGCCATATACTAAGTCCGTCAAGCTCGGCGGCCCAATTAGAATCTTCCATTCCATTGGCATAAATCGAGAAACACTTGGGCCCCTCTTAAATCAATTGGCCCACAGATTAGTGTAAAGACTTCAAGTTTTCAACTACGAAATCAAAGATTTAGGAGAAAGAACTAATCTATCATAATATAACAAACTAAAATTCAAATTTTAACAACTTAGGAGAGTTGGGTCTAGCAGAACGAATTAGTTTTTTATAATATAATGAATCAAGGTTTAAGTCTTCATTGAGAGATGTGTTCGTTTTTAGTACCCGATAGTACGTCGAATAGGATTACTTCAAATAAAAAGATATATGTGTCTAGCAAAAAAAATCAAATTCTTATTGGGAGAAGTGTTTAGTGCCTTTTAGTACCTTGAATAATATTACCTATAATTGGAGGATACTTATGCCCGGGAAAAAAAAAAAAGGAAAAGAAAAAGCATCAGGGTGGTTGGAAGCAGAAATCACGACAAAGCTCAAAATGAAATTTGTGGTGTCGATATAGAGAAAATATTTCAGAAGGCCCAAACTTGTTTAGCCTCATGTATTTGTCCGGATTAACTTATTTCCTACAATTAAAACTAGAGAAAATGACAATAAAATACCACTTGAATTTTAAAAAGACAAATAAGGGACCTGAATAAGCAAAATGACAAAGAAGGCATCCGGTACCAATATGGGATTTTGATTTTGAATTTTACAAAACACATAGTGGGATTTACAACTTTCATAGTGAGAGTTACTACTTCGTCAATGGGTTTTACAACCTGTTTTGAAGGGCCGAGCAAGTTTTGCCTAATTTTACAAACACATAGTGGGATTTACAACTTTCATAGTGAGAATTACTACTTGGTCAATGGCTTTTGCAACCTGTTTTGAGGGGTTAGGCAACTTTTCTGTAAAAAACAATACAATTCCACGCTGAATTTTACAAAACAGATAGTGGGATTTACAACTTTCATAGTGAGAGTTACTACTTTGTCAATGGGTTTTACAACATGTTTTGACATCAAAAATCAAAATTCCAGATTGGTACCCAATGCCCTATTTGTCATTTTGCTTATTTAGGTCCCTTATTTGTCTTTTTGGAATTCAAGTGGTATTTTATTGTCATTTTCCTTAAAACTATTGTAATTATTTGTTTATTTTGTTTACGTGGTTCAACCGATATCATCATGATTATAACTCACTTTCCTAATTTCACTCCATCAATTAAGTCATTAACCTGTCCACTCAGACTTTTCTCGGCAACGAAAGATAGCGGCATCATGACTCATACCTTCAGTCAACGTATTGTGGCCAATTTTTCCAAGTGATAAGGGACAATGCAGAAAATAGCTCTCAGAAAAATTTTGCAGAAGGGAAGATTCAAAGACACGCGCTCTGAAAACTGAAAAGTGAATGGCCCAATTGTCCGCTTCGATGTTTTCTTAGAAGGATAACGTCATGTCCGGCAAAGAACTAATGTACTTTCCTTTAATTAAACTAGTACAGGTTTATTTTAACAAATAAAAATAAAATTAGTTTGTTAATTTAAAAAATAAAGATAGATCGAAGAAGATAAAAATTTGCATTCTACGATTATGACGATAATTATAATAATGAATAAAATAAAGCATCTAATGCCCCTCTGCATAATGCATGTATATATATCACCTTGCTTGATAATAGTATCAATGCCACTTTTTTTTTTTTTTTAAAAAATCAATATCACTTTATTTTAAAAAAAAAAGAGAGAAGGAAATAATGTCACTTCCACATGGAATAATCAAACGTCAATTATAGTAGTACAAAGTGAAGAAACTGCTCATTCTATAAATTAACCATACGGGGACTGTGGAACACTCGCATCTTCAGTATAAAAGCACAACTTACTGTCCAGAACCTCACACCAAACTTGCAGTATCAATATTATTTTATGATCATGGAGTTTCATAGCCCTTCAGCTATCCTCTTCACTTTCTTGTGCTTCATCCTTTTGATTCACAAGCTATCAAATTCCAGAAAATGTAGAAACTTACCTCCAGGCCCACCGAAATTACCTATCATAGGAAACCTTCACCAACTTCTAGTTTCAATACCTACTCGATCTTTGAGAGACCTTTCAAAAAAGTATGGACCTTTGATGTATCTTCAACTTGGGCAGCTTCCGTTCATGATTGTGTCTTCCCCTGAAATAGCCAAGGAGGTTATGAAGACACATGACCAAATCTTCGCTAATAGACCCAAAACTCTTGCCACTGATATCTTTGCTTACAATGGCTCCGATATTGTTTTCTCCCCGTATGGAAACTATTGGAGGCAGCTCCGAAAGATTTGCACTTTGGAGCTTTTGTCTGCAAAGAGGGTCCAAACTTTCAAGAATATAAGGGAAGAGGAGGTTTCAATGCTCATGAAGGACATCCGTGAATATGCAGGTTCTGTCATGAACCTTAGTAAGAAAATCTTCCCTCTCACAAATTCCATAGTTGCTAGAGCAGCATTTGGTAAGAAGACCAAGAACGTAGAAGCCATTCTACCTACTATTGAGCATACAATTCAGCTAATCTCGGGTTTAAATGTTATTGATTTCTATCCTTCTCTCGGATTCCTCAGTGTGATAACTGGGATCAAAGCTACAATGATTAGGCTACAAGCCGAGACTGATAGGATCTTTCAAAATATTATCACTGATCATGAAGAAAAGAACCTTGGCAACCATGCTGGTGAGGATGAAGATCTAGTTGATGTTCTTCTTAGGATTCAAAAGGAGAATGACCTCGAGATCCCCTTATCTTACGACAACATTAAAGGCGTTATTAAGGTTGTTAATTCCACATGCTCCTTTAGTTATATAAATAGAAGTGTTATTTAATTATTATATTCTGATTCACGCAGTAGAGACACTCAAATTATGTCTTAAATCCTTTTTCAGGACATTTTCGTAGGTGGAACTGAAACAGCAGCAACAACAATAGAGTGGACTATGACGGAGTTACTTAGAAACCCAGTGGCAATGAAAAGGGCACAAGAAGAGGTATGATTATGCATAAAGTTGTTTTGATTAATGTAATAATAGTGAAGTTGTAATAGTGTGAGCTTTGGGACTTTTTCTGAATTTTCTTTTTGACGGTTATGCAGGTTAGAAGAGTTTTCAAAAGCAAAGGATGCGTGGATGAATCAGAAATTTCTCAGTTGAAATATGTTGCTGCTGTCATCAAAGAAGTCTTAAGGCTGCATCCTGCTGTGCCATTGTTGGTTCCAAGAGAAAATAGAGAGAGATGTAAAATCAATGGATATGAGATACCTGCAAAAACTAGAATTATTGTTAATGCTTGGGCAATCGGAAGAGATCCTAAATATTGGGATGAACCAGAAAAATTTATTCCTGAGAGATTCCTTGATACCACAGTTAATTACAGTTTCACAGGCTCAAACTTTGAGTTTATCCCATTTGGTGCTGGAAGGAGAATATGCCCTGGAATTGCATTTGCCACACCAGTTGTGGAATTAATTATTTCCAATATGCTTTATCATTTTGATTGGCAACTTCCAAATGGAATGAAGGCAGCAGAACTGGATGTGGAAGAGTCTTTTGGTGCTACAATGAGAAGAAAGAATGACCTATGTGTCATTCCTTTTAAGTATAGCCCTTAATTAGGGATATATACTAATTATCACCTAAATAAATGATGCTTGGGGGACAGTTTAAGTATTATATCTATACTGCAGAAGCAATGTTAAGCGTTATCTGGGGGATATATAACATGTTATGTAAGAGTGCCTATTTTCTTCAAGTTTTGTATATCTACCCCTTTATGATAGAAAATATATAAAAGGATATGCATGCACCCAAATAGATGAGAATTAAGAGACATATTATGTTTTTTTAATTAATTCGAGTTTGGACCATTCAAAATTCGAACACTCTTGTTAAAAAAGAGTATTGAAAAAAATATTTTTTTACATTTTTTCTCTCATATTAAAAATTTAATTATATAATTTATAAATAGAACTAAATAAGGTCTTTTCTTTGCACTCTAGGAGAGTTCAATTAGAAGTTAATGTTAAGTGCGTTTCTAGTCTAAAAATGACACTCCACGCGCAGTAACACAGTCTACTACGAAACCAATAAAAATGACACTTAAAAAGTGTTAGTTGTGGGGCATGCAGAATGTTTTTTTCCCAAATAATCCCATAATATCTTATTTATTGCGTGAGAGAGAGAGAGAGAGAGAGCGCTAATTAGCCCATTCAGTTCAGAGTCAACTGCACAAAGATGATGACGAAGACGAAGATGCAGGCACAAGTGGGCGGTGACGCAGACGTGAAGGGGACGGATCTGCAATGGAAGCTTCCACCTTTTCAGTCAAACCGACCCTCAAAATCTGTGTTTTAAAAAGAAATTAGCCCACGTATATATAGGAACCACCTTCTATGAGAACTATAATACTCGTGGTGAAATCTACAACATTCAGATAAAGTCTTAATAATCTAGATTTAAAAATTTTAAATAATAAATTTTAAATAATTTTTTTTAAAAAAAGTTACAGTTAAGATATTACATTTATTTTGGATTATCTACCTATTAAAATTTTTTTAAAAATATATAAAAAAAATTAAATTTCAGTTATCTATATTAAAATTTCAATGGTTGAAATTTGATAAGCATCATGATACTCATCGGTATGATAAACACTGAAACTGGTTTCCATATATATATATATATATGCATTAAATAATTACTCCTTCCTTCGTTACCTAATATAAAATGTTTCTAACTAATTCATTCATACCGAGACAAATAGATAAAATCATTAAATTTGTTATGAAATTTAAGTGATTTTCAATATTATCCTTATTTCATTTTTCCAACAATAATATTACTTTTATTAATCATACTAAACTCCAACATCTTATTAATTTCTACCTTCTCTCATTAGTCTTATTAAATATGGGCATATATAAAAAAAATTTAATACCCATTGAAATTATCAAAACATCTTATAAAATGGATCGAAAATTTCTTGTAAGAGACTTATTATGATATATAATAGGCTAAAATACATGAAAACCCTCCCGAACTTGGGTTAGTTGCACATCAACCCTCTAACCTTTAAAAGTTCAAATCGAGAACCCTGACATTTCATATTTTGACTATAAATTCCTCTGCCATTAAAATTACTATTAACTTTATCAGTTTTTGCCATGTTACTGTTTTTAAAATTTTTATTTATATCTATCAGTTAAAAAAAAAAATAGTTTTTATTTTACAAAGACTTGTTCAGATAAATATTCTAAATATTTTTAAAAGTATTTTGCGTTTTTAGTTATTTTATTTTAATTTTTTAGAAAAAATTGCAAATTTCAAATTTCACATCAAATGTCAAATATTATTTTTTAATTGATATGGTATATAATAAAATATATAAAAATTGTGGCACGAAAAAATCCATTAAAGTTAGAGGTAATTTTAATGGCAGGGGAGTTTATAATTAAAATATGAAACATCAAGGTTCTTAATTTAAACTTTTAAAAGTCAAGGAGGTGATGTGCAACTGACTCAAAGTCCAGGAAAATTTTGCGTATTTTAGCCTATATAATATAGACAAAAGGGAGTAGTAAATTTATACAGGTTGGGATATTTTGGTAAAATAACTGACTTAGGTTGTTAACGTTAATTTACATATGAATGAATGAAAAATTAGTTTTTTGGTGTTTTGAAAAGCAAGTAAGAAGAAAAACCATTAAGGGAGTATTTAGATAAAAAATAAATAATAATTTTTTCAAAAAAAATGTACCCCAAGTCAATATACTTCCAGTTAATTGCGGTGGTCCCACTTCAGCAGCCAATTTTCACTAGTTTTGCTTGCTTTGAAAGTGGAAAAAATCAATGAAAAAACATTGACTTTTATTTAGTATTCGAACAAGTGCATAAATTTCATACTTTGTCTCTTACGGGAAATTTCCAATTTAATTTCCAATTTACCAACCCCCCCCCCCAAAAAAATAAAGCTCATTCCCTGACTGTGACATGACTATTAAGTTGGGGTGGTTTTAAAGATATTTTAGTGAACACTACTATGATTATTAGAGTATATCCATTACCCCATTCATTTATATAGACTTTATAATAAATGGTGTTCTTTCCAACTAAATCGTGTTATTTATCGTTTTTAAATAGTTTAAATTTTTAATAATTTGTAAATTATTGATAATTGATTATTATATTACTGCACTAAGAATTAGAAAACATTTTTATGCTCCTTATCGCCCTTACAATTCTCTTGTAAGGGTTCTATTCTTAGATTTATCTTGTCATAATATTAAAAACCAAACTGGCTTAAGTGTTCATAATAATAATAGGGTAAAAAGATATATTCATTCTAATCTTATATATAAGAAAAAAATTTTTTGATGCAAATAAGAAATTTTTTTTAAGGATGCCCTGTTTCTATTTACAAGAAAACACTTATAGCATGTGTAAAATTAAAAATTTTTAGAATCAATTTCATTTTTTGAAAAATGAAATTTATTTTTATAGCCCTGTTTCTATTTACACTTATAGCATGTGTAAAACACTTATAGCTTAAGTGTTCATAATAATGGTTAGTCTTACTGAATTAATTATCAACATTCTCTCCCTCTTCATAAATAATAATATTTTTGAAAAATAAGTTACGATTTTTATATATTTATTATTTTTAATTAATTTTTTATTTTATAAAAAGAATCGGGTTTGGAATATATTTTTTAAATTGAAAATAAGGCTTAAATGTTTTAATACGATTTTAGTCAGCTATGGGTAAATAATTTATTTTTTCTAAAAACGAGTTATTTTGAGAAGATGCAAAGCTACATCTCCGGAAGGTAAAACACTTCTGTATAGTATGCATGACACACATGTATGTGAGCGAGAGCGAGAGAATTCAGTGGGCCACTTTGATTCTGATGAGACAACCACTACGGGCTCTGGCCCATCAAATATTAGCCCATTACTCTTTGGCCCATCTTTTCACTTTCTGAGTATAGGATTTCTCCAGCCCACTCAAAACTAGTTACCGAAAAACATTTCATTTTTTCATTCAAGACAAAATAATATGATTTTTGTTAATAAAAATTGGGTCCAGTGGAAGAGAGACTAGCCCCTTTCTTTCTCATATTTATCATTTTTTCTTAAGCTTTTTTTTTTGCCAACTTTTCTCAAACCATCGTTCTAGATTATTGTTATATGAGATATAAATTATGTTGATAATACTTTACTATAAATAATAAAAGAGGGATAGTTAATTTACTTAATTTTTTTATTTGTGTGAATTAGTTAGAGCCTTTGAATATGGACCACCGGTTTTCAGTCCCTTTTGGTCTGGGCAATGAGCTTGGATTATTCATCTCTCTCATCTTAAATCTCTCTTACATTTTCATAGGTTTATAACGAAAACATTTTTGCTTTACTTCGAAAGTACTTAAAATAATTAGAAGTTATTCAAAAGTACTTATTTTCTTCAAATGACCTTTTTTTTTCACTAAAAAGGCCAAAACAAATGGGCCCAAAATTTTTGTTTCCATTTGAATATTTCTCACTATTGAATATTCATATATTATGGACACAAAAAAGGGCAAACCGGCAAAGCAAGTATCTAAAAGTATAGTTGAGATTTTAAAATTGAGAAATGAGTTTGTGAATTATAAGACTTGTATCCTAGTCTTCTTTCATAATATTCTTTGACAATGACCTCGAGATTCCTCAACACAAGCGTATAGACTAAATTATTGTTTATTTTCAATAGAAGTTTTTAATGCTATGGTGAAATTTTCATCGCATAGCCTCCCTGTTTTGACCAATAACTAATATATCTAATTTTCCAACCATGAAATGGGCCGGGTAGGAGCAATGAGGGGACATTAATAATTAGCAATTAGAACATCAAATAAATTTTAATGTCTTCATTTGGCAATTAGGGCATTAAGTAAGTTTTAATCCAATTGGTTAACATATATGATTTACTTTTATGGTTTAATCAAAAGATTCTCGTAATAGCTTGGGAAAACCATTTTATAAGTACCTATGCTTTCTTTTATTTTTTAACTTGGTATCTACACTTTTTTCACTCTCTATTAAATCCTTTAAATTTGTTCTGTTAGCATTATTAGCTCTTACAAAAAATGCTGATGATGCTAACAAAGCCAAGATCCAGGACTTATAGTGCTAATAGAGTAAAATTAAAGGATTTAATATAAAAATGAAACAGTATGGTTACCAAATTAAAAATTGAGAGAAAGTTAAAGTGCACGCAAAATAATTATTTCCAATAGCTTTCTTTTTAATCATTTTCAAATTTTATTTCACTGTCCAAAGGATATTTTATCCATGACTGTTCCTTTCAAACGTTGAGCATATATGATCTATCCAACCTTTTTTTTTTTTCCCCTTTTGGTGGAAATCGTCATTTAAGTTCATTTATTTTTCCTTTTACATATATATATATATGTAGCCTTTGTTTTCTTAGTCAAACTAACTCAAAAACACTTTGAACACTGAGTAAATCTGAATCGAGATTGCCTGAAGTGAAAGGAACGCAAGTACTTTGACGTGCCCCTCCAAACACGAGATTGCTGAATTTAATGACCAATATGAATTTTTTTTTTATTTGGTCAAACTGGCCTTGATTTTGTCTTATTATTAGTGGACTTTGCAGTATAATGCACAGTCTAGTCTAACAATACGAAATTTAATATAACTAGCGGTCCAAATCAACAATGAATAATGTAACAATATTAAAATTACATATCAAATATAATAATAGGGTCCAATTAGCTGTATATTTGTATTCAAAGTCAGCATTATATTATTCCTCATTTTATATAGTCCAATCCTCACCAAATTTCAAATTTGGATGGGAGATCCTCAAAGTAAGAATGATATCATCTCCAAGACAAAATGGCATCAAAGGCCTATTTATATATTCCCTTCCATCTTATATATAAACTAATTATAAATAAAAATATATATTCTTTTTCTAATTTACCTTTATTAATAAGTGCATCATTTTTTAAAATATGTTTTGTCTTCTTTCATCTAATAGAAGGAATTCACACTGATCATATTCATAATTGGTCAAACTTATTAGAACCAGAGGGAGTTTAGTCAAATTGGGAATCTAAATATTTATGCATTTTTTCCTGTACTAGATCTTTGGGGCAAGGTATTCAATGGTGTGAGAATTAAATATAATTTGTGTGGGAGATGGAGAAGATTCGATAATCAAATACACTATAATTAGGATTATTTAATTGTTTCAACGAATTAGATTTTTTTTTATTGTAGTAAATACAATATTAGACGTGTAAATATCGATTACTGAACTTGATGTCCAAGCATAATACGGAAAAATGCACTGATTAGACATATATGTTAGAAGTAATTAACAATGACTTCTGAGTTCTGATGAACCCATACGGCGTAGATGGATTAGAAAAAGTTGTTCTCTTGTCATTATTAAGACATTAAGATGGCTTATTCAGTTATTTAGTGAGTTAATTACTTGCGTACCAATGAAAAGTCTGCAAGTTGAAGTGTTCAGGATCACGCTGCAGGCTGCGCTACATTTTTCACTTTATATTAATTAATTAATCTGACCGGGATACAGGAATATAATAACATGTGCCGGTATTATTATAATTAATTATTCTATTAGAGTCATGTTAATTTATTATTCACTGTGTTGGTGATGATTTGACTATTCAAAATGAAATAAAAAATCAAAGGGAGAGAGATTTTTATTTCATAATGTCAATGCAAGCATGGCAACGCTATGTTTGAAAAAAGAAACAATCAGCACTTCTTTCTTACGAATTGCTCCGTACTGTTACGTGGTTGTGTTATTTGTATATATAAGATAGCAAATATGTTGTAGAAAGCATAAACTAATTAAGGCTTTGGGCAATTGAGAGGAGAACTTCTCACTTCTCCCTCAATATTTGTCTGCCTTAGCTTCCACCATGTCTCTTTCATCTCCTTCCTTTCAGGCTTCTCTCACTACTTCAGGTTTCATCTCTCTCCCTCCCTCCCTCTCTCTATCTCTCTCTCTCTCTATATATATATATATATATGAATTGAACTGGTTGTTTTCGTTTGCATGATTTCAACTTTTAAGCTCCACAGTATTAAGTTTTTACAAATTCACTTTTCTTTTTGTTGTTTCTTTCGGGGTCACCTTTCTTCCCTTTATAGGCGAACTCTAATGAATTTTCCTTCATCCTCTCCCGATCTCCTCACTTCAATCTAAAAGTGGGGATTTGTTAGAGGTGGGGTGTCACTAATTAAATTTCGCTGTGAATATAAATTTTGATATTTGCATAATACTAGTCTAGTTTTACTTCCTTTTTACTTATAGACCGACCAGAAACAAAAATGAGGGGGGGGGGGGACCTTCCTCTACGTTGTACCACACGTACCGTCTATTAATATAAACTCGGTCTGATAATTAATATAAGAAAATTTTTGAAAACTTTGCCTAATAGAGCACTGAATATAAGACGCTTTACAAAATTTAGTGAAAAACAAATGGATATTTCGTTTTAAAATGCCCACATATCTAATTAGTTCATTTGGGAATGGGTATAGCATGTTTAAGGTTTAAAAATTAATTGTTTTAAAGTAAGGGTACTTTGGGAACGTCGTAATCCCTCTGTTTCAAATATAAAACATTTTTAACTAAAACACTTGAACCAAGAAGAATAGTTAGGTAGTTAGGATTTTGAATTTCAACTTTACCCTTTAGGATTGTTTAAGTGTTATTTACATGCATGAGCCATATTTATTAATATGAACCACAAAATTTCAGATATATAAATGATTTACATCTTCCTCACTTCTCAACTCAGGACCTTTAAAATCACGTAATATTTAAATTTATTATTTCTACCAAGCTCTTTGGAAGACCACAAAAAAAATGCTGAACGGAATGTTAATACATGATCTGAAAAAGTCAATTTCATTGATCAAAATGAATATTATTGCTGACCACGTTCCATATGTCTAGTTTCGGGTAAAACATTATATGTTCTGTAATAAATGGGATTAATCGGATATTAATCTAGACTTGGATGATGATAAAGAGATTAATGAGTCAGCTTCGTACTTGTCTGAATGGGTCGTTGTTGAAGTCTCCTTCTCTCTCTCTCTCTCTCTCTCTCTCTCTATATATATATATATATATATAAACATTTGAATGTGATTGGTTGGCCTTTTAGTATAATTTTTTATATGAGTTTGAATAAATTTACGTTTTATCAATATATAAATGTATACATGAACCTTTGTAGTTTAGTAGTATTAAGTATTCACGAAAATCGTTGTAAAAAAAAAAAAGTAGCATTAACGAAGATAAGTTTATTAACTCCTATTTCATGAGAACTTTTTCTATTATGTTTTATATCGTTCCAGAAACTATCCATTTCTGGATTTTGTTTTCATTTTGCAATTTCTTAACTTGTTGACGTTTATTTTAATTGCATTATTCTTTATGCGTTTAATTAAGAAAGTCTGACAATGACAATATCTTAATGCGTTTTCTGGTTCCAGCAACTTCGGTTGGATCCACAAACGTAGAGAACAAACTTCTGAGCAGACCTAATATTGTAAGTATCCGGCTCCTCTGAACTTTTCTCTTTTAGAATTAAATCCAAATATACTTTCATAGAGCAACTAGAATATTTAATCATAAATGAAAAAGCTAAGGCGAATTTTTCCCTACGTACCAAATGCAGATGTTTGAGGGGAATAAAGAGAGAATTAAAACAATCCTTAATGAAGTTAAGCTTTCTACATCAAGTTACGACACAGCTTGGGTGGCCACGATCGCATCACCTACTTCTTCTCAAGCTCCTTTGTTCCCTCAAACGCTAAACTGGTTACTACAAAATCAACAAAAAGATGGATCATGGAGTCTTCCTGATCGCCACGAGTTGTTGACCAAAGACTCTCTTTTATCTACTTTGGCTTGTGTTCTTGCACTTAAGCAATGGGGTGTTGGTGAACGGCAAACTAATAAAGGTATTGATGTGATGTGATCAGACTTAATTAAGACTTTTCCTGTTTTCGTTGTAGTGCCTTTTAGCCCATCAGTTATGTGTAGTTAACTAATGGGATGCATATTCACCGTGTGTTTTGAAGGACTTCAATATATTGAGTCAAACATTGCTTCTGCTTTGGATGATAAGCAACATTCTCCTATTGGATTTGACATTATCTTCCCTCATTTACTCGAGCAAGCCCAAAACTTGGATCTCAATCTTCCTCTTGGAGGAAAACGTTTAGAGACATTCGTTCAAAAGAGAGAATCAGAACTCAAAAGGTAGATACGCACACACACACACACACACATGGCTTTCTCTGTCATCTGTAATGCTAAGTTATTGATTAATATGATTCTTCAACTATATACAGAGGCTGGAGTGGAAGCAACTTAGAAGGATGGAAAGCATATTTAGCATATATTTCAGAAGGATTTGGAAAGTCTCAGGATTGGGAAATGGCTATGAAACATCAAAGAAAGAATGGATCTTTATTTAACTCACCCGCCACTACTGCATCTGCTTTTACACACCTCAACAATGCACAGTGTTTTGATTATCTGAGTTCATTATTGGATAAATTTGGGGATGCCGGTTAGTGTGGCTTTTCGATCTTAGTATGATTTCTTTTCCTCATTTCAATTTCAACTCTCTATACTAATTAATGCAATCTGTATATACACAAAATGTTTAAATTTCCACAGTTCCAACGTGGCATCCTTTCGATGTCTTCGCTCGAATCTACATGGTTGATTGTCTTGAAAAACTGGGCATTGATCGTTTCTTCAAAGAGGAAATCGATACTGTGTTGAACCAAACATACAGGTAATTGATGAGCATCCGTGTACATACATACATGCATATAATATCTGTATATAAATTCCAACCTTGAAATGTATTGAGTCTCATATACTTATCTGTGTTTCTATTTTGTTTGTCACAATCAGATTCTGGCAGCAGGAGGAGGAGGATATATTTTTGGAACCGACCACGTGTGCCATTGCATTTCGTTTACTGCGTTTACATGAATACGATGTTTCTTCAGGTTTTGTGACCTTTCGTCGTGTACTGTTTAATTTATATGAGAAGGAGAAAGACCAAAGAAACAACCATAAATTTGATGTTTGTTCTTGTGTTTCAGATGCACTAAGTCGATTTTCAAAGGACAAGTTCTCTAATACCCTTCAAGGATATTTAAAGGACGTCAATGCTGTTACGGAATTACACAAGGCTTCACAAATACCTCTACAGTCAAATGATCCAGTTTTGGAAGAACTAAACTCTTGGACAAGAGACTTCCTTAAGGAATATCTGTCTTTTTCCTCAGAACAGGATCACAAACCACTTCATAAAATTGATCACGAGGTAAACGCATTAACTACAATCTCACAAAAACACTTCAGTTCTTGACTTCTGATCTGTCGGTGATTGTAAATGAAGCTTTATATATATTTCATAGGTTCGTTTTGCTTTGAGATTTCCTCATCACACTTACTTGGATCGTATGTTCAACCGAAAAATAATGGAGAATTATAAGGCTGACCAAAAGAGAATTCTCAAAACATCATACAGGTACAGTACTTTTTATTTCTGCTTGATATGTTTTTCTCCCTAGTACTCTTTATCATCCATCTTTCTCATATTTTAACGATCTTAATCTTTGCAGTTCCGAGAACCTTTCAAACGGAGAATTTATTGAGTTAGCAGTGGAAGACTTCAACAGCTGCCAACTGGTAATTCGTGAAGAATTCGAACAATACAACAGGTGAATCTCTACTCCATAGAGCTTGTTATTAATTAATTAGACATCTCTTCGCTTAGCAGAATTCTTTTAATAGCCTGTCCTTAACTAACTGAATCATACAACGACTAGGTGGTTCATGGAGAGTGGAATGGACAAGCTACAGTTTCCGAGACCAAAAGTGGCCTATTCCTATTTGACAGCAGCAGGAACACATGTGGCACCTGAGCTTCGTGAGGCTCGCATGTCATGGGCAAAGAATGGGTTGCTCGTATGTGTTTCTGATGACATGTACGATGTTTGGGGTTGTGAAGAAGACCAGATAAGGCTTGTCGAACTAATGGAGAAGTATGAATTAACCCATACTTGAAACTAATTCCCTTGTGCACTGAAATTTCCACAACTTTCATGTAGTCACAAACTAATCAATGTTGTGCTCATATGAACAACCACAGGTGGGACGTTGATATCGAGAAGGAAAATTGTTCAGAGCCAGTTAAGATATTATTCTTAGCACTGAAAGGGACCATCTGTGAGATAGCAGACCAAGCCCTTAAAATTCAAGGACGAAGCGTGAAGAACCACCTGATTCAACTTGTGAGAAAACTATTCCATACATCTATATATAACTATAGTACAAAAATACAGTGAAGATCATATCTGAACGGCCTGTAATCTAGTTACCATAATTAAGTTCATTTGATTTGATTTTGCAGTGGGTGGACTGTCTGAAATCTTTTCTCCAGGAAGCTCAATGGCGGAGAAACAATTATGTGCCGACCTATGAAGAATATTTGCCTGTGGCATTAATATCATTTGCCTTGGGACCAATTCTTCTTCCAGGTCTCTATCTTGTTGGACCTAAGCTTTCCCAGGATAGTATTGAAAGTGATGAATACAATCGCCTGTTTGATCTCGTTAGCATTTATGGACGGTTGCTCAACGACGTTAACGGCTATAAGGTCAGTCTCTTTATACTATTTGTCTCATCCCACTTTACAGAATGCTTATATATTAAATTCTGATTAGGGTTTTGTATGGTTATATGATTGATGCAGAGAGAAATGGAGCAAGGGAAACTGAACGCAATAGCAGTGAGGGTGAGGCATGGATCAGGAAGTGAAGAAGAAGTGGTGAAGAAGGTGAAGGAGGAGATTGATGAAAGCAGAAAAGAGCTGTTGAGAATGGTTTTGCAGAAAGAAGGAAGCATAATACCAACAGAAGTTAAGGATGTAATATGGAAAATGGCAAGATCGTTGTATGTTATCTACAAGAAAGAAGATGTGATCCATGCACGTGACTTGTCGGACGAGGTCATTAGTATCAAAGATGCAGTTGTCAGCGATCCCATGGTTCTAAAGAAGTAGTGAAGTATGTTTGAAAATAAAAATAGATTCATATTGTATCAATACAGTGACTTTTACCTGCAACTGCAAGTGAATACATTCAGCGTTTTTTCTTATTTTTTTTTCACTAAAAATGTAATTTTAAGTCTGATCATATTTCTCTTACGTACTCAGTACGATCTTTTTAGTGATGTAATTTGACCAATAATCTCTTTCCTTTTTTTTTTTAAATTTTACCCATGATTATTTAGGAAGTATACGTTTGGAGCTTGAAAGCTGTTGAGATTGGCTATAAAATGATTATTTAGGGACAGAAAACATAATTATATTTTTGGCTCATAATAAAGTTATGTAATGAATTTAGGTTATGGTTTCCATAGGTTATTCATAAAGAAATTAGCATTTAAAGCTATAGTGAGATCAAGATCTTTGAAAATAATATATTTATCGATGTGGTAATGATTATTGATAGGAAAAATGATAAAAAAGAAAGCTGAAAATTTATAAATGCCAAATAAAGGATGTCAACAAAAATTTGATGTCATTTACAAATTCAGTATTATTAATATTAAATAAAGTGTTGTTACTAAATCTGATTTGAGATCTAGTAATTTCCACCTTATGTTTTTGTCATTCTCCCTTGTTGGTATTTGGTGACGACAGTGAGCGAGGAGCAAGGATAGTTTTTGTAAAAAAATAAAAAATAACAGTGTATATTCTCACATGTGTTCATGTGTATATAAATGTATATATAATAAAATAAATTATATACTTTCAATTTTCATGATATATATATAGCATTGTTAAACTTTTTATGCGTATTTACAATAGAATCAACAGGTCGGGCTAAAGACTAGGCAAGTTCAAGAGAATAAAGGAAAGCACAAGCTATTTAATCCTCAGGCTCTAAGGGGCTTTAATACTGGCTACAATAACCGGTAATACGGGTTGAGGTTGGCAAAATACCAACCCATCAAGATACAGAAGCCGTTTTGAATCCACTCGGGCTAGTCTCTCTCTCTTTTTTTTTTATAAAGATTTTTCATATAATTCCTAATATATTTTATAATATAATTGAAAGATGTTGACACTCAAATTTCATACGAACATTATCTCATTTAGATCATTGCATATGTAATAATTAAGCATTTTTATATATGTTTGTAGTTATATAAACAGTATCATTCATCTTTTATTTTTCATCTATTTGTTGCGTGAATATGCATGCCTTTATAAGATTAAATAAATATGTGATACTTATACACACACCAAAATAAGATATCTACTTAATTAATTTGGATTAAAAAACTAGTTAAACTAAGTATTTATTGAAAATAAGTGTTAATTTTTCTAAAATATTTTCTTAAATTATAATTTAATCTTTATATTATTTTATTACAACTCACTACTCAAATTTAAGACTCCAAATATAATTTTAATATTTCAAATTAAGCCAAACCCATATCAATAACAAAAAAATTTTTATACAAAAAATTTCACTAGCCCGCACTATCATGGGTTGGCCTGTATTCACACCGTTCCTGGCTATGAGACCGTCTCCATGCACACCGCCAGATCAAACTTGGACGTTCAATGTTGGTTTGGGTTGTGCAATCTAACAAATTATGATATTTTGGTGTTAATAACGACAGGGTTGGGTTTGATCATTGAAGGAAGAGGAAGAGGAGTTGTTTACGACACTTCAAGAGCGTTTGTATCTTCAATTATTGGTACGGAAGTGGGGAACTTGGTACAAATAATTAAGAGGGTTAATCTAAAGTGAACAAATTTGTGACATCGTGTCAAAAAAATAAATCTTTACTAAAAGAAATTTGATTACAAGTACTTCTTCTATGCGGATTTTCAGGGAATCCAAACTCTGTTCAATGACACTACCTCCGGTTCTATTTATAAGATTTTTACAAATGAAGTTTTATAAATAGAACTAAAGGTAGTACTTCATTAGAGGGCTAAAAAAAACAGTTAAAAGAATCACAAATTTTAAAATCATAATTAACACAAAAGCATAAAAATATGATTTCATTGGAAAAGTATACAAAATATATAATAAGAAAATATTATTTTATTCTAACAATATTTTAAAAATATGATAATATGGATTTCCCTCCACATCTAAAATCTCTTTAATTCCATAAATGAAAAATTAACATAAAAGAAAAAGGGAGAATTTCAGATAGCACTACAGAAGCAACATAATTATGACTGAGCAAACCCGTTATTCTATTTCCTTACACCGTTTACCTTTCGGCTCCTCTCTCCGCTTTTATCGAATTTCTCTCTTTAATTACTTCTCTAAACTATCTCTATACCTAAACTCTTACATAATGTGTGGGCTCTATATTTTAATAATACTCATATATTTTAGCTATCTCTGTCTTAATATAAATGAATAAAGAGAGAAATATTGTATTAAAAAAAACACACACACATATTTATTTTATTTGAAGTTTATATTTTAAAATTTAAATTTCATATTAAATTCATCATTATTTTTAGGAGAAAACTTATATCCAGTTCATTAGGTCCAGTCCAACCAGTTCTCTAATTAGCATGTGCCACCTGGATTCACAACACACCTTATCATTTCACATTGTCTCCTGCTCCGTTAACGAGTCGTAACATTAATCATTTCCTTCTTGTGTTTTTTTCCCCCCAAATAACAAGGTAAGCTTAAGCTTGAGAAATTAACAAATCAAAACAAACCTTCACCGGAAAAAAAAAATCAAAACAGATTACATCAGGGGAAAGACATCCGAGATAGCATTACGAAGATCTTGTGAACTTGAGCTCCATAGAAGGCAGGAGATTCTTGTAGATACAGTCATTTCCTAAATTTACAATACTATTTGCTACTACGGATTTCTCCTCCCTATCTCCGTTCATGGGGCGGTGATCGTCAAGAAATGACGGCAGCCGATGAGAAATGCCGACAGTGCCCAAGAAGTTGCCGCGGCAGTGAAGAGAGGGCAGTGGCAGTGTACTCGGCAAAGCGGATCGGATTGTCAGCCGAGGAAGATTGACCAACAGTGGACGGCAGCAATCTGTGTTATTAATTCCATAGTAGCAAATAGGACTGTAGATTCAGGAACTTGCAACTGATTAAAGAGGGGAGACAGTGTGAAATGGTGACGTGTTTAATTAATCTAGGTGACACGTATTGATTTGTTAACTGGTTGGACTGGATCTAATGAACTGGATATAAGTTTTCTCCTTATTTTTAATCTGGAATATTATTTTAATTTTATGTTGTATTTCTTTGAAAATAAACTAAATATATCTAAATTTTGGAAAAACTGATGAGCCCTATGATTAGTTCAATTCTCCAGGTAGTACATATATAGTTGGTACGATAGTATTTCAAAGTGCAATTCACACGAAAATAGTGGAAGTTAAATAGTTTTAACGGCAGATTTTGGATAAATTTGGGTTTCGTTTTGAAATTTAGGACATTAGAATTTTAACTAGTACATATTTTATTTTTTCCAGCTTTATGTGAAATAAAGTTGGTCAAAAAAAGCCTCACCTCTTCCTACTTTTCCAACATGAAAGCTCTCGTTTTCCTAGTCAATTAGCAACTTCAAAGTCTTCTTTTTCTAGCTGGACAAGGATATCATTATTAATAAATTAAACCGTCGAATTTTTGGCTCCATTGTTCTGTTTTCTAAGTCTTTATTTTTTTTTTTTAGATTTCATTCAACTGAAATAATTGCCCTTCACCTACTTATTTTGATGAGTGAATATTCTTGTTTGAATCTTTCAGTCATTTTATTTATCAGATTCAGCAACATAGACTGACACGTTACAATCACCCATATATATATGACCCAAACGTTTCAATAAATTAAAATTTTATTTAAATATTAAAAGTTGTTGCATAAGATAATTAAAGGTAAGATTTATTATTTGACATATGTATATATATTTTACACTTTGTTGGATACTTGTAATACGTGCAAATAATTTTTAGTTTTACGAATTAAAATGTTTTATTAAAGGCCACAAAAATAAAAATGTTACCAATATATAGAATGAGTTTTACCTGCATAAGTCAAAAGTGACAAATTTTTACCTTTTAGCATTTTCCTTTATTTTTTTTTCTTTTTTCAGGTTGAAAACTTGAGAGTTGACTAGAAAATGATTCGTTGAACCGAAAATCAGTTTAGCATGTTAAATATTTAGTTAGATAAGACAATTAAAGCCTGGAGGGAAAAAAGAGTTATTTTTCCTTAATTTTTCCTTAACGCATATGCGCCCTTCCTATAGATTAGGATCTAATACGACTTTAATCAACTTCTTATTCTTTATTTTTTGCCAACCGATCTTGATTGACTTCTTAATCTATCAGCATTGGGATGATTCGGCCATCTCTTAAGAATAATTATACGATGTCGAATTATATAACAGTAAACACAAGAAAGATTGATAAAACAAGGAGTCTTGTTCATATGTGATGATATAAATATGAATTAAAAACGCAAAAGTCACGAAAACTTTAAAATTAAATTAGTCTGCCCCAAACTAAGCTATTATATTCCTACATAAAATTAAAATTTCTTAACCCTTCCGTTCAAAGATTAAGGGGGGGGGGAACCAGGGATTGATTAGCACAAACGGCATTTTTTCTATCTTTTCTATATAACTCACTTTCTCGATCCCTAGCCATTTGTTTGACACGAGAAAAATAGAGAGAGAGAAAAAAAAAGGAGATGAGAAATTTTAATGAGTTTAATTCAACAGATTGGAGAAGTGGGGTTATAAAATTTTAATAAAAAAAAGATGTGAGTAAGAAAAATGAATTAAAATTTTTTAACTTCACTTCTTCAATTTTTTAAAATTGAATTCATTAAAATTTTTCTTACCTTCCTGTCTTGACTTTTCTCCATTTTTCTCATATTAAATAGATCTTGAAGTTTTGATGACGACGAGTTCTGAAAACTTCCAGCAAGGTTTTATAATGATATTTATTTTTCTTTGCCAAATTTATAATAAGATTTAACTATATGCTAAGATTGTGTGTGAAGAAATGATGATGATGATGATGATGATAAATGAGCAGGCAACTTGCCAAGATGCAGAAATTTTATTGAAACGAGTGAATTTATTGTTGATGCCGTAGGATGAATTAATATGATTACACTCTGTAAAGAGAGTGCTAGCAATTAAGATAGAACTGAACCGATTACTATAATTCAGAGAGTGCTT